GGTAATCTGGCATAGCTGATGTTTTGAGTATTCTCGAATACGGTCTGACAGGGTTAAAAGTTTGTTTATTTGTCTTGCTTTCAATGAAAAAAAAGTACCCATTTATCTTGAATAAGAGTTGCAATATTTGTGATTGAAGGAGGTGGGACCTTGTTTAAGAGATAAAAATTAACGAGACAATGGCCTTCAAAGTTTTGTGACTTCCAATCCATAGCTTGAGAGTCCTTGGAAACTGACATTTTTTTGTGCCTTTGATCAATGCTTTTCAGTAAAATTCTCACAGAATTGTGTTTTCAAATTAACATAAAAGATGTTGAGCCCAAATAAGAAAAAATTGATAAAAATTGCCCACCGGATAGAAAAATGTCAGTTTCTTTGATTTCATTTAGAGCACTATGTGTTCAGTAACCTCACTGCAGTTGGTACAAATGAATATCTTTCTATCTCTGTCTGTTCTTGCTTTCTTGGAAATAAACCGTTTGCTGTATTCATCAGCCTAGGAGGTAACAACATCCATATATTAATGCGTGTACATTGTGGAGGATGCTTTTCAGTGGTGTGGTGATTCTTGTTTTGTTATCTGTAATGAAAAAGTAACATAATATGTGTCACAACGCAGTGGAATCAGGCTCTCGTCAATTTTTGGGCTTGAGGAGTTATTGGTATTATCTGAAAGCTTATTCATTTGTCTTGCTTTCAAAGAAAAAAATATCCATCTAGCTTGAATAGAAGTCGAGATATATGCGATTAAAGAAGATGAGATAGCCTGTTTTCAGTGGTTAAATTACTTCAATAGCTTCAGAGTCCTTGAAAACTGAAAACTACTTTGTGGCTGTCAACAAGTTTTTTCAGTAATATTCACTTGGAAATGAATTTTCATATATTAACATAAAAGGTGTTAAGCCCCAAAAAACGAAATTTTGATAAAAATTGCCAAACGGATGGAAAAATGCCGTTTTCTTTGATTTCATTATTTTGATGAGCACCTGATTTCACCGCGATGTCTCACATATTATTTTGAATAAAAATGACTCTCAAACAGGTGCTCACTCATCAAGATGTCTTCACGTGGCTCAACACAACCATGACTACGCGGATGTTTCCTGCGTCTTTTCTTTCCAGAAAGGAACTATCACTGGAAGAAAGACAGTTTACAGCGGACATGGCAAATTACCGTGTTGGACCAGTGAGGGTACGCCAAGTCAGAACCCGACAAAGTGAGTGAACCTTGTTGTTCCTAAAGAACAAAAGATAGAAAAAGAGAAACTTTCTTTGGATGGAGATACCACCATCATTAGCATTAGCAGTACCTTGTATCATCATCATCATCATCATCATCATCATCATCATCATCATCATCATCATCATCATCATCATCATCCATGTTGTCATTGTTGTTGTTATTTTTGTTATTATCTTCATCGCATAATTCTCATCGTCACTCAATGCCTTCATCAACTTGAGCAACAGCATTTTGTTTTCTATTATCAACTGACATTTTTATTTTCTCTCCACCCGCCACTTGCAACTTCTCAGTGATGATGTCAGACATCCACGTTGACAAGATGACGAGCCACCCTGAGTACCTGGTTGGAGAAAAACAGTTTTACTGGCCTTATGACATAACGTCTGAGGAGACGGGGAGCTACTGCATGGGTTGGCAGCACAAACCATGCTCTTTAGATAAAGAATACATCGAGTCTGCTACGCTGAACTCTTGGGTTCACAGGTTGGACTTTTTTGATAATTTTTAAAAAATGATGATAAAGGTTGGTTTCTATAAAAGATAAGTCACTCATGTTCAAAGAAACTCTGGTATAACTAACTTTTTGGGCCTGACCTTCAATTTAGTTGAATCCGAGTGTTCGTTATAGCAATGTGAGCAATAAATTGCATTGCAATGTTGGGCTAAACACAACATTTGTTTCCATAGACCAGTGCACAGTTCATTACTTGGATCTAGGTCTATGTCCAAGCTAGCCTTTCATTGTTAACTCACTTGGACCTATTCTCGTGTATTTACGGGACACCTCGGTGGCCCAGTGGCCTAATGGCGAGTATTTATATCTCCGGTGCATTTTGGTTACAAGCTACGGGAAGCGACGAGCCAACTGTTGACCCACTTGTTTCGTTAAATCAAAAATTTGGTTATGTTATGTGTAATGCTTTTTTAGCTCTAACGGACTAATTCAGTCACCCCTGCATTGCGATAGATGAATTTTATTTTAAATTGGGTGAAAAAAAATGGCATAACCCACAGCCATTGCCATTTCAAAATATTGACAAAAAATAAAAACTATTCGGACAAATTAGACTCAGTTTTCTTTTTCTGTGAGAGCGTTTCTATCTTTCTCTTGTTACATTTTTTTAAATGATAGCTTTCACAGATTTTTGTGGTCTACGATTCAATATCTACCCAAAAACTGTCATGCTGCAGTGGTTATTGAGTGAAAAATAGCTCAGGCTCAATAGAGTTAAGTAGTTTGAAGGAGGAGGAAGGACTACAACGTGCCTTTATCTCTATGGGCATACCATGCCTGAAATGCTTGCAGGAGGAAAAATGCCCAAAGCCACATCAGTGTGGGTTGTTCCCCTTGCGAGCAACTTCGATGAATCTGAATTTGTAAATTTATGTATTCATTGAATGCGAGTTATTTTGTTGATTTTTATTAATAAGAGAACAAGGAATCTATCTCCTTTCGTTGAATCGAACTTTTTGTTGATTCCGAGTTTTACAGTATTTGAGGTATGATATAAAATGTACTCAGCAGTATGCTATTGTGTCAATGATAATATCAAAGCACTGAAGATTCTATTGACTGCGCCATAAGACTCTGCCATGCCATTTTGAAAAGTGATATATGAAGGAATCTTACACAGAGCAGTTGCTATGTGAGTGACATATCTTGTATACAAAGGATTGGAGCCCACCAGGATTGCCATATGCCATTTTGAAAAGTGATATATGAAGGAATCTTACACAGAGCAGTTGCTATGTGAGTGACATATCTTGTATACAAAGGATTGGAGCCCACCAGGATTGTTGTGAAAGAACCTCTGTTTGAGTTATGAAACAAAATGCCTACATCAGAAGTTGTGTCAATATCTGTAACATTATGTGCAGATTGCAGAGGATGGTTTTCTTTTTAGGGAATGAGGTATCATTTGTTTTTTCACAAACTTTGATACAGCTAGTTAGGTCTAGGCGATTTGGCTCATTTATATGTGAGATCGGTTATTGGTGAAGTCATAGCTATATCTCTGTCTATGTAACTGTCTGTCTGAGTGATCTATCCATTGATGTATCTGTCTGTCTCAGTGATCTATCTATTGATGTATCTGTCTGTCTGTCTGCGTGATCTATCCATTGATGTATCTGTCTGTCTGTCTGAGTGATCTAACCATTGATGTATCTGTCTGTCTGTCTGAGTGATCTAACCATTGATGTATCTGTCTGTCTGTCTGCGTGATCTATCCATTGATGTATCTGTCTGTCTGTCTGAGTGATCTAACCATTGATGCATCTGTCTGAGTGATCTATCCACCTATGTGTCTCCTATCTTAGTAATCTATCCACTTATGTATGTGTCTGTTTAATTAAGAGACGTGTCTATCTATGTATCTGTCTACCTTATCCATCTACTTTGTTTTCCTCCTCCTTTGCACAGAGTGGGTGGTTGGCGGGTGCTCTGGTGTGTTTTGCTCCTTCTTTCCTATCGAACATATATCATCCTTATCTCCCCTTTTTCTTTTTTATGTTTGTTACTCTCTTGCAACACCTCTAATCTTCTGGCACTCATATTACCTTATGCAGTTGCGAGCGCTGTAAAACCTCTACTAAAACAAACAAACTTTGCACAGATCAATTCTTGATGAAAATTCCATCCCTATCATGGGCAAGCTCCATCTGTACAGTGGAGGGGGCTACATCACAGACCTTGGTGGATATCATGACATCATTCCGGATGTCTTCATCAGCGAACTCTACGAGAACCGCTGGCTAGACCTGCAGACAAGGGCAGTGTTTATCGAGTTTTCGCTCTACAACGTGGATGCTAATCTGCTGGCCACTGTGAGGTATGAGGTTTTGTTTTTGATGTGTGACCCGGCCAAAGCTTCTCTGGTGTTGATCCAGTGGGTTTGTTGGTTGGCACCTGTAATGACTTATGGATTTATGTAAAGGGGAGTAAACTAGAATATGAAATAACTAGAGTAAGCTACAAGTACTTTAGGAGAGATCTCCCCTTATGCCATGTGACCTATTATGCCATGTGACCTATTTTTTTGTGTTTGTATAGTGAGTTCATCCTTGTCACAAATTCGCTCTCATTCTTGCTTATGAAATTCCTGTCATTGAACATCTGTGGGAGTGAACGGTTGACTTCATTACCTCTGTGCTGTCTCAGTGTAAAATCTGAGCTGTACTCCTCAGAATATGCCAAAGAAACCGGTTTGCTTGAGAACCTGTATTTTTTTCAGTCTACCAATGACTGTGTTCTTAGGTCGAGACCACTGTATTTTGTAGTGTCCTATTGTTTGTTTCCTTGGACTCAATTTAACCTCTTCACTGCTGAGTAGACGTATGTTCTGTTTTGTATTCTCCACTCTTGTATTGTTTCATCAGGTTAACAAAAGAAGTTTTAGTTGATAAAGTTACAGCTTGTGATTTTGCTATTCTGAAACAATTCTCTGTGTTTAAATATTCTTTGAATTAACATTGTATCTTGTCAGTACAGATGTTGATGGAAATTTTTCAGCAGCGAAGGGGTTAAGGTGTGGCAATACCCCTAAACCAATAAATCAATGATGCAATGAAGTACTTCTTTATTAACGAAACAAATGGAAGAGTCGCAAAATGTCAGACGTGCTAACAAAATGAGTTACGTCTCGGATTTTACCCGTACTATGGATATTAATATATATATATCAAACTAATAGGTTGAGCTTGTACTGTACAATTTATTAAAGAGGAACTGATAAAAGACATGTCAAATTTGAAGAGAGTGGTCACAGCGTCCAAAATTCCGTCTCAGCGATCTGTTAGTTTGTCCGGGCCCCCGCGGTAGGCCATAAATCACCGGCAGGTGACCTGCAATTTTACGCATCAGGTCAGGGATTGACTGGGGTCAACTTGTGCACAGCGCTATCCTATCTTGTCCTTAACAGAACGCGTTTCTTTCCCTAATTTCATGAGCCGTAAAATGATGCTTACTCTACCCCTAGAATCTATTTCTTTACCAATTTTGCTTCGTCTACGTCTTCTTGGTATCTTGTGAAAATTTCACCAGTTTTCATAGCTTTGTTTGGGAAAGATAACAGTTTTAAATTGTGAGAGTTAAGTGATCGAAAGTGCCATTGATAATGGGATCTCTTCAAATTTAATTACAAATCATTCCAAAATGAAACGTTTGTGCTCATTTTTGTTTACGCAGTGTGATAGCCATCAAATCATATTTACTAATGATGTGAATTCTGTTTTTCCCGCACTTTGCAGCGACTGGCAATTAGTTAGTGAATTGTGTTCCTCAGTAAAAATTGTTAAACTGCAATGGGTCCCACATATTATGAGAACCATAGAGAGTCTCTGAATGAACTTTGTCGGGTGTGTTGGCATTTAAATTTAACTGTCAAACAAACAAAAAGTACAGAAAGCCCCGATTATGTAAGACAATGGCAGGAGATATTCTCGTGATTTATGAGATTGATGTGAGGGAAGATTAAGATAAACAGTCGTTTTCCTCTAACATTTGTGAGGCAGCGTGGTGGAATCAGGCTCTCGTCAATTTTTGGGCATGTAGAGTTATTGGTATCATCTTAAAGCATGTTCACTTGTCTTTATTTGGATGGAAAAAACATCCACTTATCTTGAATACAAGTCGAGATATTTGCGAATGAAGGAGGTGGGGGTCACCTGTTTTCAGAGGTAAAATTAATTAGAAAATGGCCGCCATAATCAATGTTTTTCAGAAAAATCCACACAGAAATCAGTTCTTTAATGGGCATGAAAGATGTTGAGCCAAAAAACAACAGTTTTATAAAAATTCACAAACCTGCGAAAAAATGCAAGTTTCTTCACTTTGATTATTTTGACGAGAGCCTGATTCCACCACGCTGCCTCACATTTGTGTCAAGTGTTTTACCGGGATTTCAACTATCAAAAGAAGATAGGGTGTTACGTCACGTCAATTTAAGCCTGAAAAAAAGTTGTTGACGCTAGTAGGAACATATGGTGTGCATTGGACAATAACATAAATGTTGTCGGCATCGCTTGGGTGGCTGCATACAAAGATCCATTTTAAGCAAACCTGGCAACATACCCCAAGCATACCTCCATCCCCATGTATACTGTAAAGTAACAAACACAATTTGTACAGAAACAAGATAATACTCCCGCGAAACTGAAAAAATTTAGGAAGCACTGGAATGGAAGCAATATTCAATTGTCTCAATGAAAGATTTAGCCATTTTCATTCTGCAATATCACATCTCAAACCAGTCAAACAATTTTCACTTCCAGAAATCCTCGTAGCAATCAACAATTACCTGGCTGCATTCAGACGCTATTTCCCCACAAAGTCATCCCAAAGCAACACATATCATAGCAACACTGTTTTCCTCCATACAACAACACAATCTGTTTGCTCTCGGACTTTTGGGAGAACAGGGCACAGAAAGCAGCCACCAAGCAATCTCAAAAACTGGAAGCCAGAGCACGAAGGATCCCAAACCAGAGAGACGTATAATGCATTTTATTTTTGTGTCACATCTCCTGCAAATAGCACCCTCATTGAGTGCCTCTGGATATGTTGAGAAAGAAAAATTGTATTCATACTTTTATTCTGTACATATTCATTTTGTGAAAAGAAATCGATGTTGAATATTGAAAACACGTCAGTATATCATTATTTAGAAGGCTACACATTTCATTGGATACAAAAAGCCATGAATGCAGTGAAGCATTTTGGCTATCATGCTCATGATAAGTTCCATTGTTCGTGCTGGAAACAAAATTTTGAGTGAGTCAATTTCTGAACACATTTTCCCGTCTTATGTAGCAGTTTGGTAAACATTTAATCTTAAAGGCTTAGGGGCCTATAAGTTTTTAGCCACTCAATATGTGTTTGTTATTTATTTTGACTAACTATAAATAGACATACATTTTAAGAGCATCTAACTCCAAAACGTGAGCAGCCATGGTATTGCTTTTTCGTACCAATGAAGAAGTTGCTTTCTCTAAAGAACAAACTTCTGTTCACGTATGATATTTTTTGTTTGTTTTAGACGATAGAACATGTGTTGAAAAATTCATTTCACCGGCTACCGACGCATGTAGCTGGAGGTTGGGTTAGTGACCTCTGGGTGACCGGCCCACTGTGACCCGGTCACTCCATCGCCGAGCCAACTAAAAGAGCAGTGTTTGTATGTCGTGTGGTATTAGTTGAATTAAAAAACTACAAATCGGACCCCTGTGTTGATTTTTGGCAGATGTATCCATTCCCGAATTGTGGGAAGTAGATCTAAGTCACTTTTGTCAGCGAGCTTCACAAATTATCCAGTCAGATCTTCCTATCCATTTAGGTGGCAAATTGATGTCCTGGATTGTAATATTGTTTGGTTTGTGGGTACAAACAGATATAGAGAGAGTGAAGAAACGCACGTCTGAAAAGGCTCTTGTTTTTTTCTTGTCTTCTAGTACACTATGACCGAAAAGTGACTACCGAGTAGAAGAAAGGTACTGTCTAAATCCTGATACGTTACCTAACAGTTATAACAGAAGAGTTATGCAATATACATTATTCCACAGGATGAAAGGGATAAATTATTTTGCATTTGTGTTGGCAGACTAGTGGTAGAGTTTCCCGTGTATGGATCCGGCTTCCCTTGGGTCGACGTCCGAACTTTGAGGATCTACCCACATGTTGGGCCTCTCGGATCTTACATACTGATGTGTTCTATTATCCTGGTGATTTCTTTGATTGTATTTTCTTTCAAGGTAAGTGTTGCAAAACAATTCTGGATTTGTATCATGCTGTTTTGGTTTATCACCCCCCCCCCCCCCCCCCCCCAGCACTATGAGGTTATTCTGAGTTTTCACATCTGGATTTGTTGTCAGTTTCTGAGAGGACCAAGCCAAATGAATGTGAGACCTTGAAAACTCCTAATTGTGAGGCAAAATAATGAAATATAGTCGAACCTGCCCTGACGGCCACCTCTATAAGACGGCCACCTGTACAAACGGCCAATTTTCATTTCCCCCCTTGCGTTTTTTCTATATAATTTAACTGTTTAAAACGGGCACCTGTCCAACGCGGCCGCGGCCACCTTATTTTAACACACAACCCCTATCACACCAAGCAATAACACCTGTCTTAGATGGCCGCCTTAGTGACTCCATTACGTTTCGTCATAAATTGTGCATTGGCCCCTGGTGTTGTGGGCGAACCATCATAATCCACTCACCTGTCGTTGTTGTTAGGTAGTCCTTCCAACCGATCATGTTGCGTAGGCTCCTCCCACTGTTGACCAATAGGCAACAAATTTTCAGCTGCTGGTGAGGAAAGCGTGTGATCCCTCATAACCCATAAGCCCCGCCCAGAACTCATACACAAATCGTAAGTGAGATGAGTGGTCACTGTTTACCCAGTCTGTAACAAAGTAACAATGGACGTCAACATGAACTTGTGACAGAAGCGTCGCTCATGGTGGCAACCCATGTGTTTGTTTTTTCATAGCACTTGGTCTCCTTGTCTGACACATTTCATTTTATTTTCACCTTTGCTCAAAAGCAGCAACAAAAGAAAAAAAAATCCCAGGGAAAACAACAACAACAACAATAACAACAACAACAACAACAATAACAGTGCGGCTACCTTCGGTTGGGACCTTAGAAAGGAATGGTTTTTCTTCATCTTGATCAGTCCTGCCTAAGACGGCCACCTGTCTTATACGGCCACTTTTCTCCTTGACAATGGGTGGTTGTCTTACACAGGTTCGACTGGACAATCTTCATTTGTATTGCCTTCGGGCAATTTTATTCAAATTTGTAAAAATGTTTTTAAATAGACATAAAAGGTGTGGAACCCTTCCCCCCTCCCCCAAAAAAAATAAATTTTTAAATGTGCGTTTTACTGAAAATGTTCTAATGCACAAAAAATCTAAAATTGTAGTTTCCAAGGACTGTCAAGCTTTGGAAGTCACTAAACGTTGGCAGCTATTTTCTTGCTAATTTGACCTCTGACACCAGACGACCCTCACCCCGCCCCCGCCCCCACTTCCTTCAGTGCAAGTATATCTCGACTTCTATTCAAGACAGATGGGTAATGTTTTTCTTTGAAAGCAATAATAAGCGTAATAACTCAAGACAAATGAAGGTTCTTTTAGAAGATACCATTAATTCCACATGCCCAAAAATTGACGAGCGCTTGATTCCACTGCATTGTGACACAATTTAGCTCAAGTCAAGATTGTGCTGTTGGGGACCCAAACCAAGGTCAACTGCAGCATAGTCTGACATGATGTCTACACAGCTGCTGTTGCTCTCACTTGTTTTGACGCGGTTTATTGTAGGGAAGGCCCTAAGACTAAGTGAAGCCAAAGAGTCTACATAACAAGACGGGCCACTCCTCTCTTTGAGCCAATTAAAAAAGTGTCCTCAAAATTCGGTGGCGCCCTCTTTGCAAATGCACACCCTTTGCGAACAGAGTTACCCTTCTTGTGTTTTAAAAAATCAAAGTGAAACTAGCAAGTTTTTGAATAAATTTCGGAAGAACGCTCTTTTAAAATGGTTACGCAGACAAAAAACCTTTTCCGGAGGATGGGGTGATTGTTTTCTTCATTTAATTTGACTTTAGAATGAAAGGCGAGAGGTCATTAAAATTTTTAAAAAATAAAACTCCGCACTGAACGAACCCAAACTGCTGATGAACAGCAGTCGATCTGCACTCGCAAGGAGGTGTTATTCCTATTCTTCTTCTGGAAAAATGAAAGAGAGCTTCAAAACAGACTGCAGCGCCATCTAAGCAAAGAGCGGACTTCCGGCGGACACTTTTTTGGCTGAGTGGACCATCTTGTTATGTACTATCTTTGGAGACGCTTGAAATAACCCTTAAGAGAGAAGAAAAGTTAGACAGAAACGATAACTCTAGAACACATGATGGCCATACTTCTTATGAATATTTTATTAATTTTATGGAGGCAACAGCTTACATGATGTATTTTTCTGAGCATGTCTGATTTCCACCTTCAGTGTGTGTGTGTGTGTGTGTTTGTTTGTGAGTGCATGTGTATGTGCGTGTGTGTTTGTGTGTGCCTGTGCGCGCATTTGTGCGTGTGCACGAGTGTGCGTATGTGTGTGTGTGTGTGTGTGTATGTGTGTATGTGAATGTGTATGTGTGGTTGTGTTTGTGTGTGTTTTTTGTGTTTTTGGGTGTAGAAAGGTTTATAAAATCATTTAAGATTTTCCATGCCTTTTTCTGCTTGCAGGTAATGAAACAACTATTCAGAGAAGGCCGTTTGTTCCTAAAGAGCTTTTGGGGCACCATGGACCTAATGATTGTCCTCTGTTGCATTGCTGCCATAGTCTTTTACATCTTGAAAACAAAGCTTTCATCAGATGTCATGGGCAGGTTCAAAGAGAAACCAAAGGTATGGAGGCTTACATTTTTATATATATATATGCATCATAATATGTCTGATTGTCTTTTAGGGCTTTTCTTTTCTATTCTTTTAAAAAATGTTTGTGTTTGACATTTTACAAGCTTTTAATTTTTACGGCTTCATGCATACATGTGATAAACTGTGTTTTCTAAAAACAGATGAAAAAATTCCCTTTGAAGTTCGAAGGAAAACAACTTTATGTTAATTGAGTTCATTACCAAATGTCTTTAGAATTTTTAAATTTTTATTAGGACAAATTCTTGCTCATTGCTATTTCCCTTGACGTTCTGGAAAAATAAAGCAAAAAGAATAACATATTATTGTCAGCAATGATCTTCATTACTCTGCAAATGTGGGTTGTCTGGTTCATACATAATGGGGTTAAAGATGATGCTTTTCCACATCAGTGCTTGCCCGCCTAGGCGATATACCCCTCTAGTTGGCCATTAGGTAATTTTGGTGGGCAGTGTGGACTACTCGGGCTTTGATAGGTATTATAAAATGTTCCTCTTGGAAACACTTGTAAGCCGGTGGTGTGAGAATGTTAGCCTCTTAAAGTTGGTAAAAGTGGACACTGGCTTTAAAAGGGCTGATAAGCACTTGTCCACTATTATTACAAAAACCATAAATTAAGACAGACATTGAAAAATGTTTTTTAAAAGTCATATTAACCCTTTCCGTACGTCATGTTTTACTACCCTATCCATACGATGAGGGGAACTCTGTGCCCCCACTTTCCAAAGAGGAAATTTACTGCTTAATCCGACCCGTGCGCTTTGCAAGCAGTCTGTCAAAATGATATTTTGAGAAATACTGAAAGTTTCAAAGAGATCTTCGCACTAAAAGTATTCTAAAATGTGAAGAATACAGCCCCTGGGGTACAAAATGACCCCACGTGCATGGATAGCGTTAACATTAGTATTGGCTTAGAAGCAAAATTGCTAGTAAAAGTTTAATAAAAATGGATGCAAGCTGTCAAAAATTATTTGCAAAAAAATTGGGACGTTTTTGAGTTGGAAGAACTATAGTTAGAGTTGTCAGAGTTCCTGACATTAATAAGTTTGTATTTTCACAATGTCTTTTACATGTGTGTACATGACGTTCAATAAACCTTGTGAAGATAGTACTAACAGAATTTTCACTTCCCAGCTTTTCGTGAACTTCTATGCCCTTGCTATATACGACGACATTTTTGGCTGGACCCTGGCATTTATTGTGTTCTTGAGTACCATGAGGATCATGAGAATACTTGGTTACAATCAGGTAAGATAAACTGGCTAGTGCATTTTGCCCACTTATGTGGAGAAATGTGCTCTGTAAATGCAGTCTATTATCTTCTTTATTGTTAGTATTATGTCCAACAGCGAGGTTTTTTTATTAACACAAGCGGATTCACGGTAGTAGGAACCTTTTGATCGTCAAATAGACTGATGGACCGATAGGTTTGTTTAAGATGTTATGAGAGATAAATGGATTTGTGAATAAACCCCTTCACTGCCGGCTATGAGCTACATAGCTGTGCCGGGGAAAATTGCTCCAATTACTACAAGCGTCACGTAGAGCCCCTAACTCAGAAACTCAATTGAAATCATTATCATCACCTGTTACAGTCATTCATAATTTCGTCAAGAACTTCTGCAGCTAAAAAGGAAGGTCGATAGACTGGTTTGTTGGATGCCATTGCGAAAAGCAAAAAAAACCCTAAAAACCCCACAACTCAGAACGTCAACACTTGACTCCTTCAAAACAATGAAATTGACGCTCAGATTCACGGGAGACTACTGTAATATCAATGAGGATTAATCGTTGCACAGTTTTGTCCCTTTAAACAGTGGAAAATTACACTAAAAATGTCTTCATCATAGGCCCGCCGAATCAGCGGGCACATGGCACTGGGAAGCACTTCTGGGCTGAATCAGCAGGCCGGGGCAGTGAAGGGGTTAACAGAGAGATAAAGACATATATATGGGATATGTATGGCTGTACGGTGTGTATGTGCTTTACTTTACCTGTATTTATTGATTGTTTTGTAGCCTGGTAATCAGTTGGGCAGTCACAGTTGTGTGGTGGAAAACCTACTGTTAGGATGCTGAGGAAAGCTACATTAGACTAGCTATACAAAATGCTATGTTTGCCAATTCACCTACGGATTATTGTTATTATCATAATTATTATTTTTATCATCATTATTATTATTACTGTCACGTTCATAAGATAAATGCCTGAGTCAGATTTAGCCATTCTGAGAAAATGAGAAAAAACTTTTTTTTTTCGAGCAATTGACTCTGTTAAAAATTTGGATTATTCTTTTATCCAAGTGAATTTATCAAGCTGGCTCTGCTCTTCATTTCAGAACCAAAATTTCCAAACCGGCCCTAAATGACTTAAGCAATTATGTTATATTATTATTATCATCAAGGTTATTAGCCTATTAATTAATTATTATTTTGATGTTGATGATGATGATTATAATTTTTTAGAATGACTTAACTAGTATCAGCTCATCCTTTTGACCCTAGTTCTTGCAGTTGTCTTGACCTTCTCTTTCAGCGTGTCACAATGATAGCTACCGTGTTGCAACGGGCGGGAAAGGACCTCTTCTCTTTCTCCTTCCTCTACCTTTTGATGATTGGTGTCTTCGTTATGTTTGGTAAGACTCGGCATTCAGGTTGTATTTGAATTTTAATAAGAGTCTTACGGCACTTGCAACACTATCAAGTCTAATAAATGCTGAAGATTTGACACGTTACTAGAGAGTAAAAGACAAAGAAAAAAAGAAGGAAAGACATATAGATGATAGATGAATTTTGGGAAAGAAGCAGGAAACAACGTACCCGTGCCCACCAAACCACCCACTCGGATTGTGTGATGATAGGTACTGATTGTGGAGAGGCATTGATGAATAATGTGAAAATTAAAATGGTATGGGCATGTCACAAGATCCACAGGACTTGCCAAAACAATCCTGCAAGGAACCATACAGGGAAAGAGAAAGAGAGGAAGGCAGAGAAAGAAATGGGAGGACAACATTACAGAGTGGACAGGAAAGACGATGGGTGACAATCTGAGGAAAGCAGAGGATAAAAATAAAGGGCGAGAGCTGGTTTTCAGATGCAGTGGTGCCCCCACGGTTGCCCCAACCACGGGATAGAAGAAGAAGAAGAAGTTTTAACACCCCTCTCAACACCATTAGGATATTTAAGAGGCAGGACCTTCCAGTTTAATGTTCATCTCAGAAAGGACCGAGCGAAGTGGGAAATTTGTGTAAAGTGCCTTTCCCAGGGACACAACGTCGGATCAAGCTGAGGCTCAAACCTCCAAACCCGTAATCTCACAGTCACGAGTCAGGTAGCCTAATCACTAGGTTACCGACGCCCCTGTGGAGAGACATTCCTCGTGCTTTAGTATGACTATGAAGCAGGTCTGGCACTGGATGATGATGATGAAGCAGGGAAATAACAACCTTTTCAGCGCAGTCAGTTTATATAACATATGGAGTTTCCAGCACAAGTGGTCTATGAAAAAAATAATAAATATGTGATGCATCGAGGTGAAATCAGGCGCTCGTCAAAATAATTAAATCATGAAACCGGCATTTTTCTGGTCTTTGAGCAATTTATTTTTTTCTTTTTCTTTTTCTTTTTTTTGGGGGGCTCAGCTCTTTTCATGTTCATTTAAAACTCATTCAGCGTGGATTTTACTGAAACAACTTTAATCAAAGGCACAAAAAATGTAAATTTGCAGTTTCCAAGGACTCTCAAGTTTTGGAAGTCACAAAAGGTTGGCGGCCATTTTCTCGCTAATTTTACCTCGAAACCAGAAGTCCCCACCTCCTTCAATCATATATATATCTCGACTAATGTTTAAGATGGATGGGCATTTTATTCACCAAAAGCAAGACAAATGAACAGGCTTTAAGATGACACCAGTAACTCCATACACCCAAAAACTGACAAGCGCCTGATTCCATCTCGTCATGGCTTCTGATCCTTCCTGTCAGGGAGAACTTGGCTGAGAGGGATACAACATTCCAGCAAAAGGGCTGATGTGCTCGAGAAAGATTTCTCTCCACTTGGGAATTGAACTTGGATCTTCTGCGTGTGGCATTGAAGCACCTAGCTGCTACACCACGTATATATATATGAGAGATCCCAACTTCACAGACTGCAGGGGATGTCTGTGTGTCTGTTTTTATGTTTTTACTCTCTATGTGTGTGAGTGTGTGTGTGTGTGTGTGTGTCGGTCGGTCTGTTTTTCTGTTTTTTCTCTGTGTGTGTGTGTGTGTGTGTGTGTTTGTTTGTCGGTGTGTCTGTCTGTCTGTCTGTCTGTCTGTCTGTTTATCTATGTCTGTCTGTTTGTGTTTCTGTCTATCCATCTATCTGTCCATCCATCCATCCATCCATCCATCTATCCATCCATCCATCCATCCATCTATCCATCCATCCATCCATCCATCCATCCATCCATCCATCCATCCATCCTTCCTTCCATCCATCCACCCATCTATCTTCCCACATACTCCGCTATTGATTTTGCATTAAAATGCCGTCATGCTTCTACTTCTATTCACACTGTAAATTCAAAACAGGCTACATGCTGTTCCACTCAACGGAAGACGACTTCATGTCTCCATGGAACACCTTTGTGACTATTGTGTACTTGCTGCTGGGGAAAAATGTTATCAAAAACCTAGAACAAGCTCCACCTGTTCTTGTACGGATCTACTTCGCGCTACTTTCATTCACGCTCGTCTTTGTTTTGATGACTATGTTTCAGGTAAGAGTTCATACAGTGAAGTCGTGTGTTATACTGAAATCTACCAGATCACCCAATTTTCTTCTGTGCAGCCGGATTTTTGGTTTAGAGAGGTTGCTCAAATAAAAGAACAATTTTCGGATTTCAGCTCTTTCTTAATAATTAGGGTGGGGTTTTATTTTCTTTCGGTTTACTACCGTTTTCAAAAAGAGACAAATTGAAATTATGCCCCTTTGTGCTATTACACAGAGGAAAGCCATAAAAATCATTTTCCAATTTTCAATATTTAACTTGTGTATGATGATTTGTATGTTAATGAAAAGTATAGTCTTTTAAAGCTAAGAAAGTGTCTACCAGTTAAGAAAAGTTTCCAGCACTATTTGATACTTGATAAAAATTTTCCCCTCAGGGGAATCCGAAACGCGAAAGAAGCAGAAGTTACAACATGGCAGCAAGTATAGCCAGTCATTTTTTTTTTTATAGTAGAGGGTTTTACGGCGCTCGCAACTTCATAAGGTCATATGAGCGCCACTAGCCAGTCAAGGTTCTCCGTTTGCTGCAATTCTCAAATACGAGAGCACTGATTGGCTGCATTGTCAAACATGTTGCAATTTTTTATGTTCTTAGTTCACGCTGTTCAAGAGAACATTTTCTGTTTGGGAGGTATACGGCCAGCAGTCATGTTAATATTGTGATGCTCTCTCCTGCTCATAATGCTACTAGGAAACAGAGGTTGTTTTTTTTCTTGAACAAAAGGAAATAAGAATAAATCGGTGACAGACAAGAGTGTTAATATTTTCTTGTTGATTGACAATAAAAAGACAATGGTGATAGCTGAAAAAAAAGTTGATGGTGTTAAAATATTAGTACTACACTCAATAGAAAAACGACAGCAGCTCTTCCAAATAGGAATTAATTCCCACTTAAAATCCCCTGTGGGGGGAAATACGTGGGTACAATTTTATTTTACTCGTGTTTCTTGTATATTTTTGTCATTCAGAAATGAAAATGAAAAATAGCACAGAATTCATGTAAGCCCGAAGGCGACTGAGAAAATAACTTCATGATGTGCCCCCTCCCCTGTCATCCACTCTTGACCTCTCCCCAAACAAATTTTTACTCATATACAAAACAACAAACATGCTGAAAATACCCATAAATCCCCCACAAAACAAAAACATCAAAACCAAATTTTATATAAACCTGAACAACAACAACAAAAAATCCCTCCAAACAACCAGGCTATTCTGAACGCCAGCGCCACGCAGGTCCGTACAGATGCGCAGAATGCCCCGGAGCCCTACGGGATCATTAATGTCCTGCAGAAAATGTACAACTCACTAGTGGTCAATAACCGATTGCTTGCCTTCCTGAGGTGTCCTATAGGTAAGCTTCCTTCCTCTTCCTTGCTCCTTTGTGCTATAATGAATATCAAGATTCGGGGGTTGGTTTAATGATTTTTTTATTTTTTTAAGCCCGTATGTGTTCTGTTAACGAACAAACTTTAATAATAGGCATATCGTTTTTGCTTTTATATTCGCTAGCTTTATTTTCTGAAAAATTTGTTTGAGTTATTCGTGATTTGAACGGGATGGAGTATTCATAAAGGGATATTAGATGCAAAAAACTTATTGAGGAAAAAAAAATGTTTGATCTTAGATTATTGCATAGATTTACCACAAAACCTCTGTTATTAACCGAGTTAATGAATATTTTTTTTTTCTTTTCTTTTGCACACAAGGCAAAAGGCAAAATCAAAGGGTGTCTCCAGAAAAAAATCATTGGATGTTTGGAGAACCAGAGACATCAGATGCACTTGTTGTCTTCACTATGATGCGAGAATATGTGCACAGGCTTAATGGAGTGAGTACGGTAAACATGATGTTTTAAAATTAAATTGAGGGAGTGCTTATTTAGCTATATATAGCCCAAATAAGGGGTGTGCTTATTTGGGATACATATGGCCCAAATAAGGTCCCACTTAAATAAATGACATCTTTTGGGCAAGAACAATTAAAGTTGGATATTTTTTTTCCTGAACACCTGTATGTGTGTATGTGTGTGTGTGTGTGTGTGTGTG